CATCTGTGGAAGGACCACCTGCCTCCGAGGTGGTGGATTTGGAAGCTTTGCGCTTCGGAGTAACATAAATTGGTCCCGGGGGGCAAACTGAAAAACACCATTCACCTGTTGCACAAGACCCATTTTTTCCAAACAAACTAAATCTAGGGGCTCCATAGTACATGCCTGATGCAAATTATGATTATTCAAGTCCAAAATCCCAAGATTTGCAGCCAATTGAGTGATAAATGAGCCCAAGATTAATGGATTATTTTTTTTACTTAAGACAGTTCAGAGGTGGAGGGCAAACCAGCAACCCAAATTGACCTTTCTCCGAACAACCATGCACCAAATGAAAAAGAATTTGGGTTTGGTCAAAGTACCCAAACTGTCCTTTCTACCAGAGAAATTGTAAGCCATAAATCTATGTAAATAACGGTAGGCGGGGCTCTTAAGATAAGATGCTTTAGACTGGCTGGGGTCATAGTTGTGTCGGTCAACCGACAACTCTCTCTAATAACCAATGTTATGAGAGTAAAATGGCTCCGAGTATTCGCACGGACTGTGCATATATTCCTCACTCTGGGAGTAGAGAATGTCAATGAACCCAAGGGCCAAATTGAATTCAGTGACAGATTGGGTGAACTCTCTACCCATTAACCTAAACTGCACTACCCCAGGAGTGGTAACAGAGAATTCGTCAGGGATATTAAATTCAAAAGTGGCATAAAATTCCCAAGTTAATTCAATAAAAGCAGGTAAAAATGATAGCAGCATAACGGGTCCAACCTATGTCGGTTAGATACTTTGTGACCTCATCCCTAAGATTCAGTTGATCAAGTGTAGGGCCGTGGATATATTTACGAGGAATTATCTTCCTTGTGCAAGTCGAGGCGTACCGTTCCTTGTCGGCAGCCCGGGTAAAGGTCAAGTGACCACCAAAGTGGGGCGGAGAGAAGATATGAACCTCCCTATTCTGTTCAAGGCGGGTCCGGGGCCCTCCCGAACCAGTTGATGGGGCAGGTCTACCCAAGGGGACCGTAGGCTGTGGGGTGGAGGTAGAGGGTTTGCTCTTACCTTTATTCTCTGGTTTGGTCATTTGGTCTGTTGGATAGGGCAGAGGCAAGGCAAAGGTGTACAAAAGAGGTCAACAGGCAGCTGACTCAGTAAAGGGTCCCAATTACAGCTCCAAACCATAGACAATTGCAAAAACGGACTATAAACTCACCCCAAAAACTAATTAAACATGTAAACAACAAAATGACCCCCAAATACTACAGATTTTACCCAAAAACTAATTAATTAGATAAACACAGTAAAACTTCCCCAAAAACTAATTAAACAGGCAACTAGAGTAAAAACTTTTCCCAAATATCACTGGTTGAGCACAAAATTTAACAAATAGTCGTCAATCAACCACAGATATATCACCGCATCCAAACAAGTACAAAATTTCTTTCCTCAGCTAGCAAATCAAAAATTTGGCCTCAATTACGAAATTAAAATCTGTCCTCAGCTAATTAAAGACTAGTAATCTGGCCTCAACTATTTAGAGACAGAAAATGAAAAAGAATTCACCGGAGTTTCGAAAGCAAGCAGTGGGTGTGGTGGTGAAGGGGCAGAGGCGGTGACAGAGAGCAGAGACGGCGCGCGCGGAGGAAACGCGACTGCGAGGTAGCGCATGGGCTCGCCTATGCGGGCGTTGTTGCTCTGTGGGTGACGCGTGCTGGGCCTGTGCACCTATGCGTGCGTTGCTGTTAGTGACCGCGCGCGCGGCTGAGCAGGGGCTGGAGCTCGCGCGCTGTGCTGCTGGGTCGCTGTTCTGGTCGCGGGCGGAGGCTGGCGAGCAGGGAGGTTGCGCGTCTGGTGCCTGCTGCTTCGTGCGCGCCTGGGCTGGAGTTGGCGCTGGGGATGCGCGCGAAGGAAGCTGCTGGTGGACTGGAGCACTTGGGCTGCTGGGCGAGCAGGAAGTGATGCGCGCAGAGGAGGGCGCGCGAGGTTGCTGCGAGCTCACTTGGATTGAAGCTCGCACGCTCTGGTGCTGCTGTGGGCGCACAGGCGCGATGGGTGGCTCTGGAGCGCAAGTAATGGTGGCGTGCGGTGGGGTGCGACGGCGGGCGTGTTGCGGCGGTCGTGTGGGCGACGGACAAGGAAAAAGAAAAGGAAGAAGAGAAAGAAAGAAAAGAAGGAAGAAGAAGAAGAAAAAGGAAAGAAAGAAAGAAGGAGAAGAGAAAGAGTAGGGGTTCGGGTCTTTGAAATTTTTTTTTGAGTAAGGGCAATTTCGTCTTTTCACCCTTTTTTTTTTAAAGGAACCCTTGTCTTAGGCGTGGGCACGCCTAACTACCCTCTAGTCTTCTGACCATCTTCGGAAATTGTGTTCCTTAGGCGTGACCACCTGGCATGGGCACACCTAACTATTACAGAGTCTTCTGATCGCGGACAAGAATTTTCTTCCCTTAAGCGTGACCACCTGGCGTGGGCACGCTTAACTGCTACAGATTCTTCTGACCGTCGCCTTCCAACTCTTTTCCTTAAACGTGACCATTTAGCGTGGGTACGTCTAATTGCCAACTTTTTGCCACCAAATAACAAACTACTAAATGAGACTAACACTTAACTAAAACTTAAAAAATGTACGCAAACTCAAACAAATAGTCTTGGATTGCCTCCCAAATAGCGCCTTTCTTTAATGTCTTTGGCTAGACACAGCCGGAACCCTCAAACGAGATAAATTGGATCCTTGAGGTATACAATTTCCACTTCTTCAACTGAGAATCCTTCAAAATAAGGTTTGAGACGATGGCCATTTACCACGAATTTCTTCTCCGTCTTTAAATTTTGGATCTCCACTGCACCATAATGAAACACATTAGAAACGACAAAGGGGCCAATCCAGCGAGAACGTAACTTACTAGGAAAAAGTTTAAGACTCGAATGATACAAGAGGACTTTTTGCCCCACTACAAAAGATTTCCTTAAAACCTGCTAATCATGAAAGATTTTACTCTTTTCTTTGTAGATCGTGGCATTCTCGTATGCTTCATTCCTAATTTCTTCCAACTCTTGTAGTTGCAATTTCCTTTGGACCCCCGTTTCTTCAAGATTCATGTTGCACTGTTTCACTGCCCAAAACGCCTTGTGTTCGAACTCCACGGGAAAATGACAAGCCTTACCGAAAACAAGTTTTTATGGGGACATCCTAATCGTTGTCTTATACGCGGTGCGGTACACCCACAGTGCATCTTCTAACTTCAAACTCCAATCCTTCCTGTCCGGGCGTACATCTTCTCCAAAATCAATTTAATCTTCCTGTTTGACACTTCGGTTTGACCATTCGTTTGCGGGTGATACGGTGCGGATACTTTGTGGAGCACGCCATATTTTCGGAACAGGGCAGCAATAGTCTTATTACAGAAATACGTGCCCCTATCACTTACCACAGCTCTCGGCATCCCAAAGCGGACAAATATGTTAGATTTGAGAAACTCTGCAACCACTCTACAATCATTAGTGCGGGTGGCTTTTGCTTCCACCAACTTAGAGACATAATCTACAGCAAGTAAGCTGTATACGAACCCAAAAGACAAGGGAAAGGGACCCATAAAATTTATCCCCCAAATATAAAAAATTTCAACAAATAACATGGGGGTTTGAAGCATTTTGCCCCTCCGAAAAATATTTCCCACCCTTTGACACTTATCACAAGATTTGCAAAACTAGTAAGCATCTTTAAAAAGGGTGGGCTAGTAAAAACAACTCTCCAACACTTTGCGAGCTGTTTGTTTGGGCCTAAAATGCCCTCCACATGCAAACGAATGACAAAAATTTAAAATGGAGTGGAATTCACCTGCACTCACACACCTTCTTAGTACCTGGTCCGAACATTGCCTCCATAGGTAGGGGTCGTCCCAAATGTAGTATTTGGCATCACTTTTCATCTTGTCTCTCCTAGTCTTGGGCCAACTTACAGGCAATTGATTAGTTACTAAGAAATTTACTATATCAGCATACCAGGGTGCGGACGAATCAACGGCAAATAGTTGCTCCTCTGGAAATGTCTCTCTCAATGGTTGCTCTTCCTTGTGTGCAAGCAAGCGGATCAAGTGATCAACCACCAAGTTTTCCGCCCCACTTTTATCTTTGATCTCCAAGTTGAACTCTTGAAAGAGCAGGATCCATCTAATGAGCCTTGGTTTCGCGTCCTTCTTTGTCATCAAATACTTTAAGGCGGCATGATCAGAGAAAACTGTTATTTTTGCACCTAACAAATAAGATCTAAATTTTTCTAATGCAAAAAACACAGCTAGTAATTCTTTCTCCATTGTAGAATAATTGAGCTGAGCTACATTCAACGCCTTCGATGCATAGTAGATTGCATGTGCCGCCCTGTCAATTCTTTGCCCCAACACCGCACTTGCGTCACACATTATTTCAAATGGGAGGCTCCAGTCCGACGGTTGGATGACTGGCGGTGAGATTAACGATCCCTTCAATTTGTCAAATGCCATCCTGCACTCCTCGGTAAAGTCAAATGCTACATCCTTTTGCAACAGCTTGAACATGGGCGCTCCAATTTTGAAGAAATCTTTGATAAATCTCCTGTAGAACCCTGCATGACCCAAAAAGGAACGCACTTCCCGTACACTTACGGGGTAAAATAAAGCAGAAATAATATCGACCTTTGCTTTATCTATTTCTATGCTCCTAGCCGACACTACATGTCCTAGAACAATGCCACATGTTCCACCATAAAATGGCATTTCTCCCAATTAATGACCAAATTCGCTTCTATAGATCTTTTCAAAATTAAAACTAAATTATCAAGACATTCATCAAAACTATCATATACACACTAAAATCATCCATGAACACCTCAATAATCTTTTCTACATATTCGAAAAAGATACTCACCATGCACCTTTGAAAAGTCGCTGGAGCATTGCAGAAGCCAAAAGACATCCTCTGGTAGGCAAACGTACCAAAGGGACAGGTGAATGTAGTTTTCTCCTGATCCTCCGGTGCTATCGCAATCTGGAAATAACCTGAAAATCATCAAGAAAATAGTAATAGACATGACCAGCTAACCTCTCTATCATCTGATCAATGAAAGGGAGAGGGAAGTGGTCCTTTTTCGTCACTGCGTTTAGTCGCCGGTAGTCGATACACTGGCACCATCCTGTGGGTTTCCTTACCATGACCATCTCACCTTCCTGGTTCTCTTCTACCGTTACTCCCGTCTTTTTCGGGACTACTTGGACTGGACTCACCCATGGACTATCTGAGATGGCGAAGATGATTCTCACTTCCAGGAGTTTTAGTATCTCCTTTTTTACTACCTCCATCATTAGTGGGTTCAATTTTCGCTGCGCCTGTCTTACCGGCTTTGCATCATCCTCAAGCCGTATCCGGTGCATGCATAAGGACGGGCTAATTCCCTTAATGTCTGCGATGCTCCACCCAATCGCCTCCTTATGATCTCGAAGAAGACGAATCAGGTTGTCTTCTTGCCTTGGTGACAGGTGTGCAGATATGGTGACCGGCAGTGTCTCTTTGTCCCAGAGAAAAGCATACTTCATATGCTTTGGGAGAGGCTTGAGTTCCGACTCAGGTGCCTGCACAACAGAAGGCAACAATTTCGCCTGAGTTTCTGGTACAAAGAGAGAAGTAAGCTCATACCTTGGAGAAATTGGTGGGAGCGAATGCAGTGCTTCAACTGCACGGTATAACTCATCACTTAATTCTACATCTGGAGTTGCTCCCAACTCAAGATGTTTGGCTAATGCCACTGCCAGTGCATCGTCCCCATCCAATTCGAAAGTTTCCTGCACAAGAGGCTCAATAACACTTAAAGCAAAAACAGAGTCAGCCTCATCCGGGTATTTCATCGCATCAAAGATATTAAAATTTACAATTTTACCATCAAACTCCATCGACAAGGTACCCTCATTTACATCTATTTTTGTCCTAACAGTGCTTAAAAATGACCTACCTAACAAAATAGGTGACGGATTTAGTGCCCTTTCATCCCCTATGTGTAGGACATAGAAATCTGCAGGAAAGACTAACTCATTGACCTGTACCAAAACATCTTCAACTAACCCTTCGGGATAAGCATTGGTAAGGTCTGCAAGTTGGATTATAATGCCTGTGCCTTTTAATGGGCCAAGATTAAGGGACGCATAGATAGTCTTAGGCATTACATTAATTGACGCCCCCAAATCCAACATCGCTTTCCTAATTGGGGTACCTCCTATTTTACATGGAATTGTGAACATACCTGGGTCTCTACACTTGGGAGAGAGTTTTCTTTGGAGTATTGCCGACACATTTTCTCCCACCGCCACTCGTTCATCTCCTCTTAGCTTCCTCTTGTAGGTGCACAAGTCTTTCAAAAATTTGGCATACTTTGGTATCTGCTTGATTGCATCCAACAAGGGGATGTTGATATCCACTTTCCGGAACACATCCAAAAGCTCTTTTTCCTTCTCTATCTTCTTTGTCTTCTGTAACCTGCAAGGAAAAGGAGATAAGTTAGATTTGATGGGAGGTGAAGGATTGAATGTTACCTTAGGGTCTTCGCAGATGCGCCCTTCCTCTTCGATCTCATTTTCTATCTCCTCCTCACTTTTGCTTTTTGAATTTTTCACTTTAGACCCTTCCAGTTCCTTGCCACTCCTCAGTGTCATGGCACTTACATTCTTGGGATTTACCTCGGGTTGCAATGACAATTTCCCATAAACGTGGGACTCCAGGCGATTGATGGCAGTTGTCATTTGGCTCATTTGAGCCTTCATATCTTTCATGCCTGCTCTGGTGTCCTGCGGGAACTGAGTAGTGCTCATGGTTAAGCCTCTAGTTTCTTGCTGGAGTTGAGCCATATTTGTGGTCAATGATCTAGTCTCCTGCTGGAGTTGTTTAGTCTCTTGCTGGATCTGAGTAGTAGTCGTGGCCAGACTCTTGACAAAATTCTCCAAAGAACTTCCTGAGTTGGAAGATGAAGGTTGAGGCTTAGGTTGCCATGGTTGCTGGAACCCTGGTGGACGATTTGAGAGTGAATTCTGCGGCCTGTTCCCATAACTGAAATTGGAATGGTCTCTCCAATTGGGGTTGTACGTGTTAGAGTACGGGTCATACTGCCTACGGGACGCGGGCACGCCTCCGGCCATGTTCACTTGTTCCGCCCCATTCTCTTGCAAAAGGGGACATGTGTCCGTATAGTGGTCCATACTTATACAGATTCCACAGACCTTCGCTCGCTACACGTTCCCCATGGCTAATTGCCTAACAAGCGACGTCAACTCTGATAGCTGCTGCTGAAGAGATGACGTCTCTACCTCGTTGACCCTACGGGTGGGGTTGTTCTCGCGGAAGCCAAATTGCTGGGAGTTCTCTGCCATGGCTTCGATAAGCTCCCACGCTTCCTTCGGTGTCTTGTTTGCCAGTGCTCCTCCACTCGCAGCGTCAATGATACTTCTATCAGTTGATTGGAGCCCTTTATAGAAGTACTGGATCAACAGTTATTCAATAATTTGATGCTGCGGGCATCTAGTGCACAACATGTTAAACCTCTCTCAGTATTCATACAAGGACTCCCCGGGATACTGTTTAATGCTGCATATCTCCTTCTTCAAACTCGCAGCCCGGGATGCAGGGAACAATTTTTTCAAAAATTTCTTTTTCAACTGTACTCCATATAGTAATACTACCTGCTGGTAGGTAGTATAGCCAATCTTTAGCTGCATCATTGAGAGAGAAAGGGAAAGCTCTCAGTCTAATTTGCTCTTCAGTGACCCTAGGAGGTTTCATGCTAGAGCAAACCATCTCGAACTCCTTGACGTGTTTGTGGGGTTTTTCACCAGAGAGACCATGGAAAGAGGGTAAGAGGTGAATCAACCCCGACTTCAGCTCGAAGGTGGTATTCTCTGCCAAAGTGGGGAATGTGATGCACAGGGGCTTGTGAGTCAACTCCGGAGCAGCCAACTCCCTTAATGTTTAGGTGTTGGCCATCCTAAATTCATCTTCTACTGACTCGTTTGTAGTAGATAAGTGCCCTTCTTTCCGTCTCTTGATCTCTTGCCTTCGCCTACGCGCTGCCTTCTCAACCTCAGGGTCGTATATCAATTCCCCTGTGCAAGAAGAACGGGGCATAAACTAGCAAAAATATCAAGAAAAAAAATTGAACCAAAATGAAATAAATATTTCAAATGCCAGTCCCCGACAACGGCACCAAAAATTGACAGGTGTCGAATCTGTGCAATAATAATAAATAAAACCTAACTACCACCTGAAACAGTCAATAATCTATTCTAGTACTGGAGTAGGGACTCTAGGTGTGCAATAGATTACTTGATTCACCCTGTTCCCGAAAAGTTTGCTTAATCCGATATACCTGAATTAATTATTTAACTGATTTCACTAACTAGTAGACAGTGGCAAGTAGGGTCGTCTCCTTAGGGACTAGCGAGAAATTTATTTCTCTTCAAGTCAAAACAAATAGGGGGTTTTAGAATAAAATGCTAACTAAATAATTTAACTGCTGAAAAATAATTGATTAAAGGAAATAATTAGGAGAGTTCTAACCAAGGGTACACTTCAGAAATGATTCATGCACTGATCATCGATTCACAGATAATTCTGACATTTATTAATAGATTAGTTATAACTGTCATGCACGCGATAAACAATCAACCCTTCCTTAATTTATCGATAGTTAAGGCACGACCGTTAACTATTTTTCTAACCCAAAAACAACCCTAGGTACGACCATAGGATTTAATTTCTAGCTTGCATTAACACTTAGAAAGGCCCAATCCTAACTAACAAACACGCTACGAGGGTTTGTTTAAATTAGATCATATGTTCCCCTGACATAAACCCGATTACGCCAGTTGCTACTAAGATAGAGATAACGAATAATTACGGATTCAATTACCCTATTTAACAGAATAGCCTATATGAATAATTAATTATTACGCACTAACCAATCATACACAAGGCTATAACAATTAAAATCAAGGAACATATAAATATCAATAAATGAAGAAAATAATTAAAAATGATTTAGATCTCACAGTAATCGTTGAACCAATTCGTCAGTTACCCCCTTGACTAGAATTATAGAATTAGTCCTCCATCAATGGAGGACAAATCGCGTGTGTTGATTTGGGAAAGATTCGCGCACTGTCTCCTCCAACTTCGGTCAACAACAGGAGGAAAAAAGACAAAGGATTTTATTACGTCCAATTATCTCCAAAAATCCAACGTAAAAGAGAGTCTGATGCCCTCTTTCACTTTCGGTCAAAGCCAATTGAAAAGTAAAGCCCTAAGGGTCAATAATGGCGGCTCAATTGTTTTCTTCTCCTAATTGCTCACAAACGTACGAGAAAGGCTTTGCTTCTTTTGTTCTTTCAATTTCAATCAACCCACAATAGAATTGGGATTGCCAAAGTCAACCAAAGATGGAAATAAAAAACAACACAAAGTCAATAACGGAGGCTTTTGTCTCCTGCCTCTCTACAAAGCTCCAGGCCACCCCCCCCAATTCCAAAAGCAACAACCCAAAGAAAACCTAAGTCAAGCGGAAAATCAACTCTCCCATCAAAAGCTGACCTCCCGGAGTCTAATACTCCTCTCACTAGTATTTGGTCCCACCAAAATTCAAGGAGGAGATTTCCCCTTATCAAAAATTGGTCTTCCAAAAATTAAAACAAAACTCCCTAAAAATAAAATAAAATAAAGTCTATTACAATTAGTTTCTTCAGTTTCTTAAGTGGACCCCACTGCTTGAAGTGGCCCACGTACGACGAATCCTCCAAATTTCAATTTTAAGCACTTTTCAGCATCAACTCCTGCAATTGGCACCAAAACAACATATCAGTAGAATCCACCCAATTAATGAGATATTTAGTCAAACAATTGTGCAATAATGCCCAAAATATCCCACTAAAATGCACCATATCAATATGTTTGTTACTGTTGTTGATGGATTATCATTTTGTCCTCCTAAGCTTCTTGTGGATTTCAATTGTTGGCATTTGCTGGTGTTCTAGTGTTGTATACTAGTTTGTTTAGAGCAATGTCCTTTAATGATTTTTATGAAGCTGCACAATGGACATGGGAGCTTGGACTGTTTCATTAAGCTTACATTCTTGTTTTTGTTGTAATCAGTGGTTATTGCTTGTAGTATGATCAGATGAACAAGATGTTGATTGGGTCTATTTAAAGACACTAAGCAATTTTCTCTTGGTGGAAACTGACCCTTGGAGAGTACTCTGTTTTTTTCTGTCTGGAACCATAGTTGTCAAAAGAAGACATAGTTGTTAGAATCAATGTTGCAGACCTAACTGCATAATGTTGACAATAGCGGTGTTGGTGTTGCTGCAAGTTGTGTATTGATGTAAATTCCTAGGATAAAGGTTTCAGTTATGATTATTTTCTGATTCAAAAGGTATGGGTATTGGTAATGGTTATACTGAGGTATTCTCCTTGGCTTGTTACTTAAGTTGATCATCTGCTTACGTCAAAGTCGAATTATTCTTTCTTCAATTTTGTGTCTTAAATGACTGCATGTTTTGTGGTATTCTGCTTGGCTTGTTGCTTAAGTTGGTCCTTAAAGAAGATGATAATTAGTTTTCGTTACCAGATACCAAATATCAAGTTGGTTGATGACCTGGCTGCACATTTTGTGGCAAAATTATTTATGGATTCTAGTTTATACAGCATAAATAAAGGTTGATTTTGAGAGAAAATTGCACAGCTTTCTAAGTTTCGGGTTTTGGAGAAGACGGTGCAGCACTTGAAGAACTTAAGTTTTGTATACTTGGACCATGAAAGTTGCCTTCTAAATTTCTTGGTTTAGTCTTTACATATCCAGAAATAAAGCTTTTTATAGTTGCATCTTTTTGGTGTCTAGTTAACAAAATTACTTTCCGAGATATAGCAACTGGCAAAAGCAAAAGCTTGACAGGCTAAATTGCTTGTTATGTTATTTTGCATTTGGGCATTGACCTTTTTGTTTGATATGCTACTTGCAATTAAGTAATATAGAGTCCTTCTTATGCTTTTGACTTGTACAAGTTGGTTATAGATGTGTGCATCATTTAACATTTGACTGACTGAGAGGTCTAAGCTTTGGATTTGTGGACATTCTTTCTTGGGTCATGATTGTCAGTCAACTCTTCAGTATTCAGCTTTTAGTAGTTTAGGAATCATGCTTAACACCCCTCTTAAGTGCCATTTCAATATAGTGGAAAATCATCTACTACCATATGTATTATAGACTTTATGGTAAGACTTTGGAAATATCTTATCATGATTTGCAGATTGAAGATGGTTGTTGGCATGGTATTCTAATCCCTTGTACGTTGGAATAGGCAAAACCTTTGTGATTGCTACATGCCCTCTGTGCGCTCTCTCCCTCCCTCCCTCCCGTTTTCTCTCTATCATGTATATTCAGTGGCTTTGCATCAAATATTTTAGCAGAAAAGGGACACAAGCAGATTGGGCAGAAACAGTTTGCTTTTGTATTGTAGTTTTATCAGTTCGGTCAACTTTGATTAGTTTTGTACCTTTGTCATGAGGTACTAACTACATAGTGCCAGCGACTTCTGGTATCATGTACCTTTAATTTGCTACCTTTAGTTGCCATAGTTCACTTAATTAACGATTATATGCATGCAATCAATTAATAGTTATATTAAATTTTCATAGATGGATCCCGGTAGTGATGATGATGAGGATGCTATTGTAATTGGTGCTGCCACTTCAGTCCTAGCAGCAGAATTGCCTCTGTATGTATTGAATTGTTCCAGATTTTTTATCCAACTGAGGCCAACAATATTTAAAGCAGGGATTTGAGTCACTCTAGGCTTGATTAGGGTGCTTGTGTGTACCAACGGTTCTAATTCTGTACCATGAATAAGGTTTTTGATTCTAGAGCTTGGTTTATATTCCAATATAGGATTCTCTGCATTTAGGTTCTTCTCCCTTTTATCACTTTTTATATTCCAATATAGGATTCTCTACATTTAGGTTCTTTTCCCTTTTCAAAAGAACAACATAATGATATGATACTATACCAATAAAGAATAGTGTTCAGCTAGGTTTTCGTTTGATTTTTAACTCTTCTTTCCCAGCCAATTCATTAGTATAATTAATAATTCCATTTAAGAATTCATGCTGTAATATGAATAAATATTTTATAGAAATGTTAATATGATTATAATGG